CAGCAACAAAAATTAGCCGATTTAGTAATCCACATGATCCAAAATCTTCCCTACAAAAGACTGACATTAGCTATCATGTAACGCAATATAATGCTGCAAAGGAAAATATGGATTATAAAGGCACCTACCTATCTTCAAATAAGTAAATATCTCACTACGTTCAATAAAGCTCTAAATTCAAGATAATCCTGCATAAATTAAACTTAATTTCAGAAAATTATGATACTTGAAAGCTAGCTCGAAATTCATTTGCTGTGAATCTTACAAACATTATATCAAAACATTTTAGTTTCCCATTTAATATTTGTTAATGTTACTGAAGTAACAAATATGATGTGTTAATTAAAGTAATGCAGTTTTTTGTATATTCTGTGGTGCAGTTAACTGATTTTGTAGCATCTTTTGAATTTTTCGTTTAAATATACAGGATATTTCAAACAGACCGCACTACGAGTATGAATATGAAGTATGAAACTTTAAAACCCTCTTTAATGGTTGTTCAAAACCTCATATTTTTCAGGTTAAGAAATGAATCAAATAGTTAGTTTTTCAGATGATAGCAATTTTCATCAAGTGCTATGGGAGAAATGGGGATTTGCATGGACCTGGGGAGGAATGACGTCATAATGTTTGAATTTAAAAGCTCAAGTGCAAGCCCGATCAGCTTAACTGCAATAGCTTACCAGGTGTATTCAGTAGATACTTAAATCAGTATCACATCTACTACATACCATCAAATCACGCCAAAAGAAACATTTCCGGAAATATTCGCTTTCGGTTCATCTGGTTTATTGATTTACATGAAAACTAGCTCTTTGGAGAAAACTTACGAAGAATAAAGCTTCAAGCAACAAAACATTTTCATCTCAGATATAAAATGTTCCGCATAGCTAGCGGGACATCGACTCCGAAGAAACGTTTTGTCTAGGCACCCCCCCCTAGTGACAGGAGAAGAAGAAGCTCGTTTCTTGTAAAAGTTTCTCCTAACGCTACACGCCGTTATTTATGATAAACCCATTACTCAATAGATCTGAATTGATAACTCAATAGACAAATGACGTGAACACAGAAACGTCTGACGCCTACACTAATTCAAGGCATCCAGAGGACGATTCTTCAACGTGCACGTGCAAATAATTCCAATGTAGCAATACATCAATTCCAAATTGATATATGGAATGCCTATTAGTTCTATTAAATTATTTCTGATGTAAAGGTCTACATGGCTGTTCTCGAGATCGTTTTCCCAAGATGTAGTAGGGTCGATAAGGTCAACATTATCTCGTGATTTTCGAATAAAAATGCTACGCTATGATGTCTGTGCTTATGTTTATAACCAATACAGAACGCATCCTCATTTTTCCTGTGGGGGGGGTGAAGAACTAAGAGACTCTTTTTAGTACTTTAAATCTGAAGATAAGATAACTAAAGTTTATGTTTTCAATTATCTAACACATTTGCTACATGATACCTTTCGATAAAAATAAAAGAAATTTACGTCCTTATATAGAGCAAAGCTTCAGAGTATAAAAGTTTCGGTCAAGTGATATATTTTAATAAAACTATTTTAAAAATTTACATACTTATAAGAAGCACTTGAAATAACGCCAGTGAGAAAACAGTTTTTGTAACCGAATTGGTCGAGCAATAAGCATCCACTCTCATGTTATTAAAACTACCTTAGATACTATTAATTGAAATTTTGAGAGGATTTTTGGATTTTGATAAATGTATCTGAAAGTATTCCAATGCAGAATGTGCAATTTGATATTAGGCTGCGACATCGGAATCCTCGAACGAAGCGAAAGATTCGGAATTTAAAACATTTGCTGATTTTCATTATTTGAATCTTTCCAGGCTTAACCTAAAATCCTAAAACGCATTATTCGGAAAGATTAGATTTATTTGGATTAATTAGAAGCGTTTTTTGAAAGAAGAACCCTATTTTTCCTATTTTTTTTAGAACCCTATTTTATTTCAGTAGCCTAGATCACCGGTAATTACTTCGTGGCGGCTATTATTAATTGTCTGGAGATAATTCAGCATTTTCATGTTTAAAGTTTATCTATGAAGTCTTGAAATAATGAAATAATTTCCTTTTCCCTCTAAAGCTGCTTCAATTTAAAAGAATTTGAGAAAAGCAAGAAAATTCGAGCTGTTTGTTACTCAAATATGTTTTGTCAATTATACTGAAAAATTGTAATTTATAATTGAAATTGAAAATACATTGAAAACATTAACCTTCAATTTTAAAAGGTTTATTTACGTAATTTTGTACTCACTAAATTTCATTTCCATTTTCTTAATCAATAGAAAGGGATCTTTATAAGCTTTATTCTTAAATTTTTTCATTAAGCGCAGATTTGAAATTTAGCTTAAATTTAAAACTTTTAATATTGGTAATAATAACAGTAATAATAATGTTTGAAACTTGAGAAACGTGTAGGATTCGGATTATGATTCGAAAACATGTAGGATTTGTTCCATTTCTGTTTATTATGAATATGTTAATTCTAACAGATGACCCTTAAAACATTAAAAAAATAATAATAAATAAAATAATAAATAAATTAAAATTAAAAAATAAGCAAGAAATTGAAAAAAACGCAAAAAGTGTTCAGATTTTTAACGATCACCCTTGAAAGCGTTCAGATTTTAACAATCGATTTGTTAAGGTTTTTCACCCTTTCCCTGATCTTGCAGTTTGCCAGTCTGCTTGTTGCACTGATTCCTGCCAAAGAATCTCTGAGGAGAGATTCTTTGCTCCTGCTAACTCATTCCTTTTAGTGCAAAGGGGCAATTTGCCCTGAAGGACTATTAATTTCTTTTTGGCGTTTTGCGTCGAAAACCTTAAAAGTCTGCATAACTTTTCAAATCATTGCCACCATATATTATCGCCCTGTCTTATATTTAGAGAAATTAAATAATGAAGAATCTGCATAAATGTATGTATGTTTCTCGCATTGTGATAAAACAACGGTCCCTAGAGCCATCAAAATTTGAATAGAGTAATCTTCCATAGAATATGGGCATGTGGAAGCCCTAATTTGAATTTGAAATTTGTTTAATTATCGATTTCAAATTTTGAAACTCTTCGACAAATTTTTGATTAAAAAACTTAACGATTTCAAAGCGAGCAATGGCAATACTGCACGAAAAGAAAAAAAAAAAAAAAAAAAAAAAGAAAAAAACTTCTTATCTCCCGCGCGAGAGACTCTGTATCGGAAATTCTAAAAATATGCTCATTTTAAAATTAATTTGCGATATTGCTCTTGAACTGAATTTAATAGTTTGAGTACGTAGAACATGATATTTAATGATTAAAGGTAACACACAAAACGTTAAAAAAACGCCCCTTTGGACGTAATTTAAAATCCGAAACCTTTCAGATTTCTTTATTTGGGAGGGGATCATTTTAGCTGTATTATTAGGAATTATTTTCTTCGCACTTACGCCATATGCACATCAACAGCAAAATTACAAAAATTATAAAAGTAGCATAGTAGTATATGTTTAGAATTCCCTACACAGCGTTAAATGTTAGCATATTATTTTTTTCAGTCTTATCTTAGTTCATCATATAAATGTTTAGTTTTCTTAGTAAGATAGCTTGCAATTTTTTTTTTTTTTTTTTTTTTTTTTTTTTGTCTTTTTATTATTGACGCTTTGTGTGTTAACTTTATTAATTAAATATCATGCTCTTTGCACTTATGCCACATAAAATTAGATTCAACAGCAAATATCTGAGAATTTCCTGAGTACAGTCTTGGGCGCTGGAGATAAAAATCTTTTATTCTGCATAATGTTTCCATTGCTTGTTTTCATATAGTTAAGTTTGCTAGTCAAAACTTCATTAAAGTTTTACAAAATATGCAACAGAAAATTTGAAATTAAAAATTCAGGTTTCCAGATGCACATGTTCGGGTGGAGAACTACGTCATTCAAAATTTGATAACTTTAGGTACCGTCGTTTATACATATTGCGAGGAACATACATACATGCAGATTCTTCATGATTTAATTTCTTTAAAATTAATGCAGGATATTATTTGGTGTCAACAATTTGAAAAAGTGATACAGCAGTTTATAGTGATCGATGCAAAATCCTGTTTCAAGACTAATAGTCCGTTCGCGCCAACGCCCTTTTGGGCTAAAAAAAAAAAAAAAAAAAGTTGATTCAGAAAGTGCTAAAATTAAAATTTATATCTTTGTTTTGTTGATACTTGACATTAATGGACACCTCTTGACATTTTTTACCAAAGGGCTTAAATCATACATTTTTTTCAATTATCATAAGGCGAGTTTATCACGGCTTTATGGTTTTTCAGAAATACACTTAGAATGACGGTTTGTTTTATTTGATTTTGGCAAAGCACTCGACGGCTACTTGCCTAAGGGTAGGGAAGCCTTTTTGGGAAACTTTCTAAGGGAAACTGACTCGTATATACGTTACACATGGAGAAAACCATTAAAACGCCCATGCAGCCAACCCATTCGCGGGATTCGAACTTCACACCGAACTACCGGTGTTTCGCGATTTTACTACTCGGCCGTTAGTGAGCATCTACAATCACGAACAACTTCCTATTGAATTTCTTCCGTATAGGATCGTGTAAAAATTAAACGTCAAGATATTTTTACTAAGGTTTCATTCACATTGCCAAAATTATCATAATCTAAAAACCTACTTCATTTGATTTACTTCTTAAACTGGAATCATAGATCCACGCTCAACTTTCCAAGAGATATTTAGTTATATAACCTTTTAAAAATATTCTGTGATTATGCATCTTGCTATGTAATGCAACTGTCTTTTTATCCCATTAACTGAGTTATTATTCACAAATACGGCATACAAATTTCAAATAACAGCTACTGTATAAATTATTAAGAATTTGTTAATTATGATGAGTGTAATTTATAGAAATGCTCTGTTATCAGGAAAAACGAAAAAGAATCTGGTGAAAACTATTTTTAAAATTTTATATTCTCTGTTTCAGCTGCTGGCTGGCGGATGAAACCTTCTATTACGCAGTTACGCTTCCGGTGCTCATAATGTTAACAGCTAATTTCATAATTTTTGGGTTGATTTTATACTCTACGACTTGCGGACGACCGAAAAAGTACCTAAGGAACAATCAGAATGACAGGAAAGAAGCCATAACCCGTGCAAAAGCAGTATTCTGTGTCTCCTTATTGCTAGGTAACTAATTTCTGTTGATATCATAGTTGAATAGAAGTCTTTTATGTTTAATGCTTCTTCTAATCAGAATATTTATAAATTATGATTTACTTGTTTTATAAATGTGTTTATTATTATATTAACATGCATAAATATATTTACAGTGGAACCACCTATTAGTGGACACTGTAGAACTAGAGCTTTAATCCGTTACCAGAAAATGTCCGTTAACGGTGTGCATTGGTCTCCTACTTTGAAAGCCTATTGATTTAAGAGTTGTCCGTTAATGGGGAGTGTCCCCTAGAGTGGAGTGTCCGCTAACTTGTACTGATATCCGAGCTAAAGTGATCGCAGCCTATTCGGTTCCTCGAAAATTCACATAATTGAGTTGCGTTTCTTTTGTTGGCAGAATTCGTACTTCCGACGATGCAAGTGAGCTTATTTAAAGAAAACACATGAGGGCCATTTCGTTAAAGGGACGGATGTTTTCGAGGAGGACTTTTTAACGGAAATTTGTTTTTGTGATAAAATTAAGCAATGGCATTATTTTCATTTACATAAACAGATGACACATTTCAATTAAAATAAAACCATTAAGCTTAATTTTATTCCGATGGAAATTACACTAAACACAATTTTACCTTCATTTTTAATATATCAGAATTAAATAAGTAATTTTTCTTTTTATTTTCACAAAATGAAGCACAAAAATCATATTTACAATCAATTAAAATTGCACTAAGATATTTTTTAACTAAAATTAAATAATGAGAAAATGACTCAGCTGAAAACGAAAACACTTTAGCACCGTAATTGCTTTTCAAATATTCATTCGTTCGTTCATTGTTTATATGTGTACCCAACATTACTGGGAGAGGCAGGATTTGTACTTATAAACTGCTTTCCCTTTTATTTATATTCATAATTATGAATATAATTAAATGCCATCGCGAGCCAGACACATTAATCAAAGTCTGTTTAAGAACTCTTTTAAAAATATTGCTATATTATTTTAATTAAAGAAAAATTTTAAAAATAGGTAACGAAAAGCCAATTTTACTCGGCTAGGTAAGAAAAGGAAACAAGAAACCTAATAATTCAAGTTCTACTGTATTAAAAATAAATCAAAAATTAGGGAAGACTCACTAGCATAAAACTGTATAGATTTCGGAAATATCAAATGTGAATCTATTGTTTTCAGGAAAAGGGGAAGAAAAAAGACAAATTTATAAAGAATTATCGCATCCCTCCGCGAGCTTGCTCTGTGTAAAAGGTTAGCACGTCCAGCTAGCAAGTTGAAAAATCCATGTTTTTTAATCCTGGCCAAACGAGATTATTTTTCATGTTTCCTAATAGTCTCTATAAAGTCTTATATAAAATCTACGAAGATCTAACAAGTGTTTACATTTTACGCAGGCGTGCGTCTCTTCCACGTGCGTGCTTATTAAATCTGTTGTCACTCATCTCAGTTGTTTGACAGTAACATCAGAACAAGCCCATGAAATTCATCTTGGCAAGGAGTTCAAGATTGCACCTGTCGTTGGCAAGAGCCTTGAGCACCATACAGGTGACAGTACGACTTCGCTCAGTTCCACCCCCAATTTTGAGGGAGAGCACCGGGGAGGACGGGTCCGAAAGTCCCCCACCCCTCTTTCCCTACCACAACCTCTCGAGAGGAATTTCGGCTCGCCGCATAGTTAAGAGTGCCCCCAATGCCGCACAAACACTATACATTTACAAACATCCATGCCTTTTCCAGGATTCGTACCTCAGCCCTTCGGTATGGCAGGCAGCGTCAATTAAATCTTTCATTATGCCGGTTGGACGGCGCTTATTAAATCTAAAAATCTTGTTTCATTTTTCATTATCTTTGTTGTTCAAGAATTCTTAATCGATAAACATGGTTTTCGTATCCGTAGTGTGGTAACTTCCACCGAACATTTGCTAGTTCTTGAAAAATATAAAAGGTGATTTTTATCATTTTGTTAAGTCAGAAAATTTTTAAGCATTGATATGTTGATTTTTTATTCTAATTTAGGAAATTTTTCCAATTCGTTAACAAAGCTGACAGCAAAAATGAATGAAATGCGTCAAAATGTGTGTGCAGTATAAAATAAATGGTTTCACAACTACTGTATACTCATATAAAGTAATGACATTTCATAACTGTAAGTGTTAATTTAAACCTCACTCAGCAGTAGTTTGAATTTCATCTTAAACCACTTGCTGTTCTGAAGTTAATCATCATAAGCAAACACACAGAGAAAAACCCAACTAAAATTATTGCTTTCCCAAATAAATCAAAATTATTCACTTCAGTATATAAATTTAACATTTGTATCGTTCTAGGAATTTTATTTCGGATATTCAATCTTAAAACAGGTATTACAAACTTTAATGATTCATTTTGATTACATTTGTTATGAAAGTGGTATTTTGCATAATATTTTCCCAAAATTTTCTTCGTCTTCGGTAAATAATGAGAAAATGTTTATATTCTTAGTAACTGAATGATATGAAAGTTATTTTAATTTTTATTTTACAAGTTAAATGTTTATATTACAAGTTTATTTTTAATGAAACTGAATAAATTTGCGTCAATTGGAACATTTACTTAGTATCCCCATATTAAAAAGACGAGAGTTTTGATTTGGCTAATACATTTTTCACAGATTTTAAGGGATTTTCTAATTTGAAAACACGAAAGGAAAGATTTTTAAAAACTATCGTTTATAATAATTAAATTAAGATTTAGCCAGTAGTCTTTTATTTCAATGACTTTAAGGGATTCCTAAGTTCCGTCACAAAACGAAAAGTAATATTTATACATTATACATATGCATACATCATATTTCCAAGAAATCTGTCGAAATGTTATCAACAGATATTTAGAAACGTAAAGAACGGAAGCTTGTAAAAATCATAGTTGGTATATGTATGTCTCCAATTAGCTGTTCTGAAAAAAAAAAATGCATTTCTTTTAGGTTTATCTTGGATTTTTGGATTTTTAGCCATTGAAGACGCTAAGTTAATATTCCAGTATTTATTTGCCTTTACGACTACGTTACAAGGGTTCTTTTTATTTATTTTCTTTGTAAGTATATCCATTTTCTTATTTATGTGTTACTCTTTTAAAGAGCCAATCAAATATTATTTTTAAATGACTTTATAACTGACTGAAAAAAGAATATTTCTAAAATGAGCTCAATTCTTATGAACTAGGACAGTTGTTGGCTTTATTTGTAAGGTATACAGTAGATATTCGAAAAGTATGCTGTAAAATTAAATATTATTGTTATTCTTATTTTAACTTTATCCATTCACTTTAATCTGAAATTCATTTTTTATTAACAGATTTTGCGTCAGAGATCTGCCCGTGAGCTATGGATAAATTGCCTTCTTTCTTGTGCAGCGCCTGAAAAAGCCCACCTTTCCTACATAACGGGATCTACTGATGCTATCACAACTAGATATAATAAAAACAGCATAGGCAGAACTCGTGAAAGCAAAATTGACAAAGTTGCATTCAAAGCAAGCTTGCCTTATATATCATTCAACGAACACTTCTGAATGCAGTGAACGTTTCTGAATATCATTCGATCTGATTTGTTGCTTCTTCTTCTTTTAACAATACAAGCTTCACCGCTATTGTTTCACTTATAGACAAAACTCTATTTTCAGCTGCAAAACAGTGCTGCACAGATTAAACATGTGTATATATTTAACCATTAATTCGCATCCATTTTATAGCTAGTTTTATTTAGCTCTCTGTACTTCTGTAGCAGCAAAATAATTCGTAATATTTTCATGTCTCATTGGGACTTATTAATGCAATTTATAACATTCTAACTGGTGTAAATAATTTTACTGCTTTATCAAACCCGCCTCACCACATCACATAAAGTCTCACCAAATTTGCAAGTTAAACTTCGAAGCCCCCAATGTCATCAAATTATTTACTCATCACTTGGGTTAGTGACTATTTACTGGTTATTTAAATACGATCATCGCAAAAGCAAACAATTGTCATAGTTTATTTGTATTTTTTTCCTTTTACAGTTCTTAGACTTGTATACATTTATTCCATTTGATATATGTAGCTATAATGATCTTCGGTATTTGTAGTTGCAGTACAACGATTTCTAGAACTTCGCTGAATTCAGACCACATTTTCAAATTTCAATTTTCTTCCTGGCTTTTTTCTCTTGCTAAATTAGTTAGTACTGAAAAAATTAATTTACATACATCTTCATACGCGAATTGTTATAAAAGTATGTACAAACTCTCAAATGATAATAAATATGTTTCTGATTATGATTAATTATTAAAATACAAGTAAATAAAATTTGTAGATGAATAAATGCATGAAAATTAAAATTCTGTATATTTCTTTTTGCTTATTATGTTTCTCAGTTTAAAAATTAGTCTGCTGGAAATTCTGGAAGTATCATTTTGGAATTCGAAAAAAACTGCAAAATAACGCTGCGTCGCCAAATATTGTCATATTTTACAAATTTTCATTTGCTAGGTCCATGATTTTAGAAGCTAATTTTTGATCATATATATTTTTGCACGAGCAATTTCATATAATAAATTAAAGTATCATATATATTAAAAAATATGAAGAAGCTCATTGCTGACGGGACTTTTTTATCAGTGACGCAAAAAGTTTGGTATCTAACACGAAAATTCAGTCACAAGACTAAATAAAAAAAACAATCCTTTAAATATTCATTTTATATAGTAACATTATTGCACAGATGATACTGACAAATAAAAGAATTAGAAAGAAATCCTGTTAATATGTTGCGTAATGAAGGTCTATTAATACTAATATTGTAAATACCAGATAACCAAGAAAGTTCGTGCAGTTTTCGTCACTCATGAAAAACGGCCCACAAAAGTCTTAACCACCCATTTTGCTCTTCGAAATAATCACTCGAAGTATTAAACTCATTGGAAACATCTAAATGAGATACAAGCTCATAAACGCCCTTTTTGAAAAATTCCTTTTTTTCTGGAGTCCAAAATTTTGATGCACCCTTTGTGACATTGTTGGGTTTTTAGAACTGCTGCTCCCGCAGGTGTTATCCATGGCCGAAAACAGATAATAGTCCGATGGGATAATGTCCAGGAAATAGGGTGGCTGAGGCAGAACTTCCCAGTCTAGTGCTTGGATCACCTCTCTGGTCGCTTTTGCCGTATGAGGTCTAGCATTATCGTGGAGGAGAACTCTTCTGTTGACCAGTACTGGCTCCTTCGGGTGCAGTGCAGCTGAAACTGTTTGCAACTGTGACAAGTAGACCTCGGCTGTTATGGTTTTTCCGCTTCTAGATAATCATAGCGGACTATGCCAGCGCTGGTCCACTACACATACAGCATTGCCTTCTTTTGATGAATCTCCGGTTTAGCGCCCAATTAGACCGAATCAGAAGTCGGCCAATGACGTTTCCTTTCCCGGTTATCATACATGATCCATTTTTCGTCACATGTCAAGATTTGGTTCAGGAACGAGGCTTTATTATTTATTATGGTGCAATAGCAACGAAAAGCAGATATTCAACCGTTGGAGCTTGGTTTCCTCGGACAGGCCATGAGGGACCCACTTGCTTATTTTCCATGTCATCCCAAGATTATGATGATGTGATCGAATGATTTCGTCAGATACTCGAAACCTCTATGTAACCTTCTGGAGGGTTTGATGAGGATTTTAATTAATGTTTAATTTCTTCCTCCAGCTGGACTTTGTCGAGAGTGGATGAACGACCAACGCGGGGCTTGTCTTCAGGGCTTTCGTCTTCGGACGAAAATCGTATCGACTCCCTAACTTCCCCTGAAACGTGGAGCATATTCTTCTAGCGGCCTCTGCAGCTTTGTTTCCTAATTTGTATTCGAAAAGCAAAATAGCTCTCAAGCTCCTTTTCCAACAAGATGTTCTTTTAAAGATTGCGCTTGCTACAAACCGATAGCGAAACGTGCAATACACTGAACAACTCTCTACTGAAAAAGTTTGAAAGGAATGAAAACATGTGATTTATCAGGAATAATTTGACCACACTAACGAGCCAAAAGTAAATGTTCCTAAAAACAGCGTGAATTTTCTTGATTACTTGGTAATTGATATCATTATATTAAAAGCAATGTTTGTAGAATCACCAAGCTTACTAAAACATTCTTGTAGAGTTTTTCTACATTAAACTAACTCATGCTAACTTTTCTAGCTTGGAAAATTTTTAATAAAGATTCAGAATTCAATGTTCCATGTCATACTTATATTTTTTAACATTTCTTAATTTTTCTTTACCTTTATAAAACCCATGAAATTATAGTTATGTCTCAGAGAACCCTATATAAACTTTACGCGTACATATAGCTATATAAACATCAATTGTGTTATTCATCAACGTTTCTGATCTGGATTTGCCCGGAATCCTAGAATACCGCAAGAAAATCCCGGAAAACTAGGTTTGCAAAAACGCAATAGAGAAAGCTGGTCTAGTTTTTTCATTTCCCTTTTGCTAAGTTTCTTTCCTTGCATTATGTGACCACAATGTATATTAATCACCCTAGCAGCCTCTCAGAGTGCCAGGTATGACAGGTTGCTGTGTCCTTAGTCATAAAACCTTCGAATATCTTTCGAATTATAGCAGCTTGTGAGTGTAACGATCTGAAAGATTTTTAAACATCATACGTATTTCTCAGTAGCTAACGAGCTGAAAGATTTAGAAACAGCCTATGTACTTCTCAGTAGCTGTCATCTTAGTTTCATTTTTTATCCTCCAAATTACAATAGAACATATCTTGACAATATAAAAAAAGCTAATTATTTAAAAACTTTGTGCTTCTTAATAATTTTTATAAGTTTTAGGAAAACGTGTTTTTAAATATTGTTTTCAAAATTTGATAATACATAAAACCTGTTTAATAATATTTTATACATGTTTATATTATTTATGTAATAAAGCATATTTCTACAACCATATATTAGTCTCTTCTACAAAATAATTGCTATATGAGTGACACTAACCGCCGCCTGAGATAACCACTGTCCTGACTTTGTTGTAAAAGTCTTACAGTGTTAATAGTCATCCTGGCAGAAGGGATTATCTCTTTCGTATAAAAATATAAATATAAATATTACATGGGCATACAAGGCCTTTGTATAAGCATAGATATGTTAATTGCAAACATTGTCTTTTACAAGTTACATGTGATAATTACACCTTAGACATTTTTTTTTCCTAAAATAATTTGTTTAGGGATGGATCGGATCATTTGAATCCTCATATCCCACGAATCTAAAAAAAAAAAAAAAAAAAAAAAAAAAAGTTTCAAGATTCAAAACATTTGAATCCTGGAATCTTTTTTGTGATTGAAATCCTTTAAATATTCTCTGAAAAACTGTTAAATACAGCAATTCAACACTTTGGAAGTATTAATATTATAAATTGTACACTAAGTGCGGTGACATTATACCTGTAAAACCATGGATTAAGTTTTAGTGTCCCACCCGATTCTTCCTATCCAGTCCTGATGTTCAGTGAAAACATTCATTAAAAAATGTACGATTACTGTAGTTTTAGTGGTATCTGGATTTTCAACGTCAGCTTGCGGCCACCCTAAATGCCACACTGGCACCTAGCGAAATCTGCCGGCAGGGCCTCTTTACGTGCCCTCATCATACATAAATAAATACTGACAAAAACTAGTTGAATTTCCCACTGCAATAGTTACTCCTGTATTTTTAACTTTTGAAATCTTGCATGCACTAAAATTCCAGGTCAAGATGATCATTCGCAATCTGGTGAAATCTCAAAACAGAATTGTATACAGCCATACTTTTGGTCCAATTATTCAATACTTAAGAAAAATAAAGCAAAAATCACAGCAGTCTTTCATTGGTAAAATGTTTAGAATTTTGACATGACATTGCCATTGTCTTCAGACACAATTGCACGATAGCGTCTCTCCAAACACGATTTTCATTATTGCTGCCGATTTGGTACCGGAGGTTCCAGAAAAGCCGTCATTTAAAATTGCATCGCCAATTTCAGAATTATATAATCATTTGGGGTTATTCTACTCTCACAACTCGTATAGGGGCCGAAAGATGAAATCACGGTTTTTAATTTGTTTTTCAAGTTATCCATACACAGTGGTTTGGTTTGGTTTATTAGATTACGGCAAAGCACTAGAAAGCTATCTGCCTTAAGGAAGGGATGCCTTCGCGGAGGACTTTTTAAGGGAAACTAACTCGTTATACACGTAATATATGTTATATACGTAAACTCGTATACACGTTACACATGGGGAAAACCACGAAAACACCCATGCAACCAACCCGTTCGCGGTATTCAAACCTCGGACCGAGCTACCAGTGTTCAGCGACGTTACCGCTCAGCCGCTGGTGGGCTCTATCCATACGCTCTAATTTACTCGTAAATATCTGATTTCTTCATTCTGCTCATATATTTAGCTATTACTTTGGGCACTCGAATCTCCAAAGCCATAATGGTGTGAAAAGTGAAAATATTTTGTTGCCAAATTTTATTGAGAAAATAGATCTCAAGATTCAAGACTTTGTATTCCTGTTTGGATTATGATAAAGCATATACGAAGGTTATCTGCTGAAGGGTCCTTCATGAAGAAATTTTAAGGTTAACTCTTCGTATTCATGTTACACATGAAAAAAATAACAGAACTGTACAACAATGCTGTTCACCTAGATTTGATTCATTGTACTGGTATTCAGTATTTTGATTCATTGTACCAGTATCACCGGTGAAATTCAGAATTTTAAGAATTTTTCATCTCTTTTGTATCTCCTTAATAAATATAAGTGTATTTTTAAAAACTGCATTCGTAAATCTGTTTTCATTAGATGTATACACTCATGTCCATAAATTAAGGATAATTCCGAGTCACGCGGAAATCAAACTCTAAAATAAATATATCACCTGTAAAATCACTACACACATCTTCAAGAATCATATGCAAATTTCAGGAAGTAACCAGATGACACCGATGGTACGTCACAATGACGAGAGTGTGAGAGAGTGATATATGAGGAATACAGGCAAAGAAGTAAAATTGTTCGATGGCGCTTTATAAGCATTTCAGTGCAATAACCGAATAATTATGACACAAAGGAAGCATTTGGATGATTTTTTACGTGATATAATTATCGGCCGTCTGGAATGGGGGCGTACCCAACTGGAAGTATCAGACGAACTTGGAATTGCCCAAAGTGTCATCTCCAAGCTTTGGCAACGATTCCAAGATGATGGTAATGTGAGTAGACGTTACAGCACAGGTCGCCCTAGAGTTACAACGCCGAATGGGGACCGGTATTTGGCAGTTACTGCCAAAAGAAACAGGTGGAGCACAGCCTGAGACCTGCCTCGTCAGCTCTCTTCAGCCACTGGTACGACAATTTCAAGGCAGACCGTGTACAGACGCTTAGGGCAGATTGGTTTATATGCTCGTAGACCTGTCAGATGCGTTCCACTTACTGCAACTCACTGTCGCCTGCGGTTAGCCTGGAGTAGAGAGCATTGCACTGTGGACACCGCAACAGTGGGCTTGTGTGATGTTTTCCGACGAGTCCAGGTTTAGCTTGCAGTCTGATTCTCGCCGGAACTTTCATATGGAGAGCTCCAGGTATTCGTTACCACCAAGGAAAGCATCATTGAACGACACCGTTACGGTGGTGTAGGAGTGCTCGTTTGGGGTGGAATTATTCTGGGTTCCAGAACTGACCTTCATGTTCAAATTGGAATCATGACAAGCCATATCTATCGGGACGTCATTCTGGAACAACATGTATTTGTTTCGGGGCGCCATGGGCACACAATTTTGTTTATGGATGACAACGCCCAGTCCTCACCGTGCAAACATCGTAAGCGAATGCCTTCAATCGGAGGAGGATATCACCCGTACATGGACTGGCCAGCATTCTCACCAGACTTGAACCAGTAGAGAGCACGTGTGGGACATGCTTGGCCGACGAGTTGCAGCCCGTCAACCTCCTTCCTACATGTCTACCGGAACTTCGGAGTGCATTGCTTTTTGAGTGGTGTAATATTCCCCAAGATCAGATCGATAATTTGATACTCAGTATGCCTAGGCGTTGTACGGACTGTATTGCATCGTCTGGGAGACATACAATGTATTAACAATCATACCAACTATGTAATATTGGTTTTTTGTAAATATTTTTTTTTTAATTTGCTGCAGGGAGAAAAAATCGCTAATTTTTTTAATAAACATATAGCATTGTTTTTTGCTCTTTACCTTTTGTTTAATAAATAAGCTTTATAAATAAGTCAAATTTGTTTTGCTTCTAACTCTTCCTTTGCCTGATTTTACATTATCCTTAATTTATGGACATGAGTGTATTTCAAATATGCTTTATTGAATCTTTCAATAGTAAAAGCTTTTTTCTCCTTCTTTTTCTTAATGTTTTTGTTTGAAAGGTTCAAAATTTTTCAGGATTCGGAGTCGCATTCCAGAAATTTTAAGTTTCGGTCACGTTTAATTTTGATGCAGAGTATGAGTGTTTCTGATATTCGCAAAAATTTATTGCCATCGGAATGGTGTGGTGGTGTATTTAATTATGGCAAAGCACACTAGGGCTATCTGCCTAAGGGGAGAGATGCCTTCGTGGAGGACTTTCTAAGGGAAACTGGCTCGTATACACGTTACACATGGAGAAAACCACGAAAACACCCATGAAGCCAGCCCGTTCGCGGGATTCGAACCTCGGACCGAACTACCAGTGTTCAGCGACTTTACCGCTCGGCCGCTGGTGGGCCTGCCGTCAGAATGAACAGATCGATCAGACACCTATGCCGTACATGTTGAATCATGAAAATCAGATTATTTCAACTTATGCAATATGGATTACTTTATTACCATTTTATTTCAATCAATTAAAACTAGTTGTGGCTTTACCTCGAAAATTTTAAGCATGTAATCCCCCCCCCTTTTTTTTTTTTTTCAAAATGGATAATTTTTTGAATTCCTCCAATGAGGTCTTACCAGTAAATCCAGCAAAATAAGTAATAAGCCACTTGATAAAGAACTTTCTAAACTCTCAAACTCTGCCTAGCCATGTTTAACCAATAACATCGTCTGTACTAGATAAAGAAGTGCTAAAGTAACTTGAATTTGTGTCATCTTAGTTAGAAAATTTTACTTTAAAAAACAGTTCTTTCAGTTCTTTTCTAGATCTGCGGATTAATCGTAAAAATAAT